CCCCCCCCCCCCCCGCGCGGGGGCTGCGCCCCCTGGACCCCGCTCCACGCCCCCACCCCCAACCCCCACGGGCTTTTTGCAATAAAAAATAGTATACGCGCTTCGGCGTCGAGTGCTGAATTCAACGCTGGTGGAGTACAGGCGCACGAGGCACGTGAGTCGGAGACGAGGCCGCCGAACTCGTGCGCCTGTACTCCACCAGCGTTGAATTCAGCACTTCTCCGCCTTAGCACGTAATATACTATTTCGTGTCGAGGGACCTGAAAAACGCCAATTTCGTGGCGCACAGCGCACGAACGTTTTGTTATTCCAAATGTGCGCCCTGTGCGAATTTCGAGGCGCGCAGCGCCACGAAAATGTGGTTTCTCAGGTCCCGTGACACGAACATTGCTTTTCTGCACGGCTTGGTGTGCTTAAAGTGCTTTTTTCCGACACGGCATGCGTACAACTGGATTATCCATTTTTTGAATTTGAGATTTATGATCTCAAATGGAGACATATGGAAGTCTTAAATTGAAACTTTCAAAAATTTAAAATTGAGTTCTGAAATTCTCAACTTAAGATTTGAAAGTCTGAAGTTATTAAGATTTTTCAGTCTCAAATCGGGACTTTCAGAAGAATCAAATGGAAGCATATGAAAAAAATAAATATTACGTCACGCGATTGGGGGGGGGGAGGGGGATCTGCATTCCGTGACGAATGTGACGTAGGGGAGAGGGGGTATTGCTTAGATTGTGATATCACACCATATTCTTTTTTTTTAATTTCAAACACCAGGAATGCACCTTTTTGTCATTCCGGCCACAAGGCAGCGTTTTACGGACGTGAATCGTTCCTTACAGCCGATATAACAAAAAATATCGTTCGTCATATGGCGTAAAAAAACTTTTCTAGCTCATATGATTACAGTGTTGGCTCGTATCTTTCGGCCTAGTGACGAAAAGTACTATTTTTCATCCGTCCGCGAAAAGAAAACTGGACATCAACCTAGAAAAAAAGCTAAAAATGTAAGGTTTATTATGCATATCTCTGAAATTTGAAAGAGCAGCAGCGACACTCCGGTATGATGGCAGTTATTCCAAATGTGCATTCTGTGCGAATTGCCGTCAACCGTCAAAGGGAACTTTTGGCAGTCACATGTAATATTGAAGACGACGAAGATGAAGAATGGAGCGATGAAGCGTTCATTGATTAACAACATCTGTTCGTACCAGGGTTTTTAAATGATCCTTCACTCCATTTAATGAAAATTCATTTCACCTACCCATGCGACTAATCATTCGAAGATTTTTTTTTCTCTTAGGTATGCCAACAATTCGCAAACAGAAATTATTTTTTGAATGGTGTGATAATAAGTTGACATATTCAAAAGTATCGAAGAAAGAATTGATTATTCACGTGATTTTTTTTTTGACACTAAAAAAAATACAAAATTGTTCTCTATACATGAAGTAGGGGGGGGGGGNGGGGGGGGGGGGGGGTTCGTTGATTTCGTGACGTAATATTTGAATGCTTCCAAATGGACATTTCAAGTCTCAAATTTAGATTTTTAATCCTCAAATTCAGATTTTCAAGTCTCAACTTGAGACTATCGAAAATCTCAATTTGGGATCATAAGTCTCAAATTGACATGTTTTTTTTTTTGTGTATCGCGAATCATCCTCGTTCCCCTTCTACGTACTCCAAAATCCTACGCAACCATATCCCGTGATGTCTTAAGATGGGAAACGCTATATAAAGTGCCGTTCTATTCTATTCTCTTATATTTCTTTGATTGCCTTGTTGACTCTTACTTTTATTGAAGTAAAGGACAAGTGTTCACCAGCGAATCTTTGACGACGTACGTCCTCTGAACTTTACGCACTTCGTGCGCAAAAGTAATAAGTTTACTCCCAGTACCGTCCCAAACAGTGAACTCGACAGGTGTCATAAAAAATGGTGTGGTAATCGTGGACTTGGAGAAGTACACTTGCCGTACTTGTAACAAAACATACTATTTTTTGCACTGTTTTCACTGTATATCCATCCAACGCGGTTTATTCATGTCATTCAAAATTTGCAGCAACAATGAGTGATTCGATCCTGAATAAAATTAACTACAAAGTGCCGCTGAATACAATGACAATGTCCTCACCAAACTTTACTCATTAAATTCTTTTAAAAATCCTCTGTTCGTCTCCCTCATCCACTCATAATTAGACTTTAAATAATTCTTCAATTGAATTTATTCATTGTGATTTCTTCTGCATGGAATGATTCTACCAACTGATCCGTTTTCCGTCCCCGTTTTATCCTTCTTATGTTGAATGATCTAAAAAATTCATGTTTGCATGACATAGACACAGTGCTATGTGTCAGAGACGAGTAGGAACGAGAACGAAAAGTCGAACAAGGAAGTAATCGAGACCGGAGTGTCCATCAAACAGTTGGTAAGTGGCGTACAGTATGGTTTACTGGTTAGAGCATGTATGAGATCTTTTCAACGGTTTTTACACGTCTGTGCAATGAAAAACGGAATGCGCCTGACATTCTTAAAAAAACGAGGGAGCTTAATATAAATCAGTACTGATTTGTGAATTTTTTGCAGCTAGAAACAAGAAACAATTTATCATTTTTGGTGGTGCACACAAAATTTTTTCATCATTTTCTCTAGGAGTTGAGAATGAATACAGAAACGAAATTGGAACATTCTTTATTTGCTTTGCCCTTGAATTTATGTAAAAAATAATAATAATAACTAGCCAAAAAATCATTGAAATTAATTAATTGAATAATTCATGTATAACTCATAAAATATTCAATTAATTCATGTGATAGAGCCTACACTCTCATTAAATAACGCGAAGGCTCACAGTTTATATCCACCATGAACGTCATTGATAAGAGCACTGGTTACACCAGTTTTTAAATAATCCATCAATTCGCTTCAGCATCACTTGTCACTAACACTAGCTTCCTGTTGCCTAACAGTGCCGAAGCTTTGGTGACATATCGAATGCAAACGAGGTGGATTACGCGACGACAGGACATGGAAAACCGAGCATGGAGGCGCAGGAGGTACGTCGCTGTCCCTTGAGGATTTATTTATGCTTCTATTGATCGCAGTAATTAATTAATTTATAATAATTTGTATTTATATATTAAATCAAATGCTTTTATCGCTAATAACCCATTATTCACCAAAGTGATTGATGATTAATATTTTCTGGATGGCATGAACAGAAAGCTAAATCAATGGATGACCTCAGGGTCAACGACAGAGCGAGGAAATTTACTAAAGATGCGTCGGTCTTTGCTAGAGTCTCTGTCACAGCTCTTGTAAGTACAATTAGGTAGGGACATGTGAGAGCTTGATTTAAATTCGAATAACAATTGAACAGGGCCGATGCCATTGGGAATCCAGACAAGTTTTCGCCAAAAAATAGAAATAATTTGAAATTAAAAAATTCAATCAGTACCCTCGTGGAAATCGGGTCGTCAGATTTTGACAAATTATGACATAAAATGAAATTATGAAGAATTTCTCATCATAAATATCATATAATCTATGATATTATGACATTTTCTGTTAGGTTATGACATTGATTGACGGATTCAGACAGTTTATGACAAGCTGAAATAGGACAGAAAATGACATAAAAAAATATATCATATTATGACAAAATAAGTCATTTTCTAAGAAATTCTGACATTTGATGAGCCCTGGCAATATGTAAAAATCTGACGAAAATATTATTGTCATATCATGAGGAACAATGTCATTTTCGGGGGGAAAATGATAAAAAATGTAAAAATCTGTCAGTTTATATCGTTTTATAGAGTTGACATAACATGACATCTGCTGTCAGTATATGACGATGCAATTTCTGACAGAATCGGACATATTTTATCAAATTCTATGAAATTATGTAAAAATCTATCAATTTTCTCATTTTTTGACATAATTTCATATTTTATGTCATAATTTGTCAAAATCTGACGACCCTATTCCACGAGGGTAGTTTCAGAGTTAGGAGGGTTGTCAGCCTTTGTTTCCTTGTAGGAAATTTTTGGTTATTTCTTGATTTGTCGCATTCTTTTCCTTTCTTTTTAATTTTTGAAATTCTGTGCGGTACTGTGATAATCATAATCTTTTTCGATTACTTCTCAAGTTCTCATAAGATAGCTTTTGTCTGTGAACATGCTGTATTTATTCTCTGGCAAGATGTAAAGCTCATTCTTAACAAGTGAATCAGTCTTTAATTTCAAGTTCTTTATAATATTGTTTTATTTCTGGATCAAAAAAAAATTCGCTAAGTTGGCAGACAAAAGTAATAGCGCAGACCGCATTTATGCTTTCATCAGTTGATTTGATTACTAAAATAGCATTCCGGTCTTCTGTTTGTTCGAAAAAACTACTGACTATTAAAACTATAGAGAGCATCCTACTGTAGTTTGGCAAATTTAGCGAGAAGCATTGAGCAGGAATCGAGATCACGTCCGAAGTTCTTTGGAGTCGAGGTAAGGTGCCAAGGAAAACAACAGAATTATTGTCATCACGTGGTGATGGGAACTATCATTTTTTTCTCACCTTGTAGTCTTTTTTGTCACGATTATCAATTTCACCAGGAAGTTTGTTCGCCTACGGTCTATCATGCTTTATCAATTCACTTATTTATTAAAGTTAATCCGCACATATTTTAGTAAATGAAAAAGACTTCATACGAAGGGTAAAAGCTATTCTCTAATTCAGTATTTTTTCGGTGGAGAGATGAACTCGAAAAATGTTCCTCGTTGACGAGAAATTTCATCGAGAATAATTCAATGGTTCGCAATGATGTTCTTCACTATTATGTTCAAAATTGCAATGAAAATGCAAGTACTATATTGGTGCATGCGAATGAACGCGTTGAATTTATTCAAATTTAAGTTTACGGTTTCTTCTGTCAGGGTAACTAAATATGGTCTAAAAAGTTTGAATATTCTATTTTTAGATGGTGTATGTATGTATGTGTATAGTCTTTTTTTTCAATATTTTTTTCGAAATTTTTTTATAGGAGATCAAAAGAATTTCATGTTATTATCGTGAATATAGACTCCAATAATTTCTGTACATTGCCACTAAATCAAATTCAAGTTCTCAAAGTTTCGAACATGGCGGATAAAACTCGCCTAGCAAAAAAAAGAAAATTGAATACCATTCTATGAAACATGAATAAACGAATCGTAATTATCCAAATCATTTCGGTCAAAGGAGAATGGAATAATTCTACCCTCTTAATATTGCATTTACTAACGTTTTCTTCGAACAAAGTTGATTAGAACTCATAGCTAGAATTATGAGATTATTTCCCATTTTTGACGTCGAGGATAGGAGAATCTGAATGCAATATAGTAAAAATGATGGTTGATTTTTTTGCTTTGAACAAATAATATTAATATCCAAGTACAAAATTTCTGATATGAACAAAAAGAAGTTGTAACTTAATATCTCAAATGAAGTTTTAATTTTTAATTTGGTGTTGAAAACACGAGATGACAATATTCTAAACACGGAATTATGTTGATGAGATGAACAACAGACTAGTTGAATTATTATGTGAACTAACAAAAAATTGATAACAGTGGGCACGCACTTTTACCAGAGTATCAACAATCATTGAATTCCAGAAATTCACACTCTAAAGTGTGAGCACAAGAATTAGAACGTCAGCAAATAATTTATAATATGAAAATTTAACAGCTAATAAATGGGGATATATGATTCTCGTCGGTCATATTGCTTTTTGCAATGAGAAAGATTATAAATGATTAATTGAAAATAAAAGGAGAATATCGAATCTGACAAGAAAAAGGGTATCAACATCCCGGCCGCTTGCAGCCAGGGTGGTGCTAATATATTGAAAAAAGTGGTAATATATATGCGAGCTGTTCTGACAGGTAACCTCCGTCATTGGGAGACAAGTTCATAGCGGTATGGTTGTCAAACCAACTCACAAATTTGCATTATGTTTTATCGCATTTTCGAACTGAAAAAGCAGCTATGATCCAATTCAGCCGCAGCCGGACGAAGTAAGCTACATTTCTAGCTACGGATCATATTTTTGGTTGAGCCAAAAAAGTGTGGAGATGTCTCAAACAATCCCCGCTTTTCTCAATATATATAGCTCAAACCGCATAAAAAAATCGATTTTTCAACGATTACTTGAAAAATCATAATTGAAACTGAATATCTCCCATATTCAGAATATCTCCCAAAAAATAACAATAGTATATTATGTCATCAGGTGATAAAAGTATTATCTAACGAATGCGACTTTATAATCCGAGGTGAAGGCGAGGATCAATGGAGGCAATTGCGTCCCGTACCCGAGAACGGGTACGCTACTACCATATTATACGCGAGTCAACTTCCCCCTCCACCACTCAAAAATCTTTAATTATTTTTCTTTCATTGTTTATCCCATCCCAGGACATTTTAGATTTCATAAATGCTTTCATTTATCATTCGAGTCCCTATTGTAATTTTTCCAAATTTTATAAACAATACTTGACTAAGAACATGATTTCTTCATGAACCAGGTGTTGAGATTTTCGTCGTTCCATTTCTCTAAGCCCTCGAAGCGGAGATCAGAGTTGGGTCGTTCACTGAAAATCGGAGTTTTCTACGGTACAAAGTAGAATACTGGTCATTTACCTCTAAATGGTAAATAACTGGTAGAAAATCCCTTAACCCTACTATCAGTGCAGTATCGGTTGCACCTTGCGAGGGTCAAATGTGCACTGATAGAATGATTCATTTATGGGGCATTCTTTGTCAAGTGGACCATCCATTTTCATCATGTCTGCAAATTAATTTGAGACTTTTCTCACTTAATTTTTATATTTTTTGGGAATTTGTAAGATTTTTTTCAGATTTTTAATGCTAGTAGGAACCCCGGTTTTAAACAAATGACCGAATTTTTTGTTTAATTCACTCACAAGTTACTCCTAGAGAAAAAAAAAATTTTCAAATACATAAAAAATCTATTTTTTCCTCAACTTTCTAATGAAAATATTTTAAAAATTTTTCAAGTAGAAATAAGCATTAAAAATGCCAAAAAACTGAAAAAAAGCGTAAAAACCAGATTTTAGTTCTTCGGGCCGGGTTAATTTCGATGAAAAAATTCAAGGAGACTTCTTTTATTATATTTATTTTCCTGTGAAAAGGGAATTATGGGATCGCCAGCCCTTCATAGGGTAAAAAATTAAAAAGTGAGCTCACTGATGCTTTTCGCTTACTTGACCGTTTGTAATGCTCTCTGAAAAATTAAGAAATGTAAAGAAATTCTTACAAGTGTTTGATCGGAATTCCATGGAAAACAAATAAATAACTGATATTATGTATATCATAGATTTTGGAATTAATGAAACATGCAATATTTTTCAAATTATGATTTTTTTCATTCATGTAATAATCTCTATTTTTTAAAAATATAATTTTCCCACAAAAAATGGCTCTCGTTCAGGATTCGAACCCTGACTAGCACGCCAACCAATGGACGAAACTGGTACTAAATTATCGAGGAATTTTTCAGTTAAAAAAACCATCTTATGCCATGGATCGCTTGTCGTGCTGTCTGATGATTTGCCACACTACACCACACTTTTCAACAAAAAATCATTGAATATCTCAAGGAAATAATCAAACTGGAGAAAATCATTTACTTTACTGATGGTGCTGCTCAACATTTTAAAAACAGATTTAATTTCACGAACATCTCTAAACATCAGGAAGACTTTGGAATCCCTGCAGAGTGGCACTTCTTCGAAACAGCACATGGGAAAGGCGCTTACGACGGAATAGGTGGCAACATGAAGGGCTAGCCTTCAAGCAGCTAATCCAGCTGAGCGAATTCTGAATCCCCAAGCTCTATACAATTGGCTTAAATTACATTCTGAAAAAACTCATGTAATTTTCAGTCCAGAAGAAGATCATTCGAAAACAGCAGCTGATTTGGCTATCCGCTTCGCGAATTCGAAACCTGTACCAGATACTGAAAAGTATCACAGTGTTATTCCAAATGATAACAATGACAAACTGATTTTGAGGAAATTTTTATTTGCTGAAGACTACGACCTGTCCCCGAGAAACAAGAAGGAAACCACAACTGCTACAACAATTTCTGACGGAAAAATCTCTTCGAGAAGGCAGAAAAGAAGAAAGTGATTATAAATTATTGCTGTAAATTATTCACTGTTGTAAACCGATATTCACTTGTAGAACATGACAAATTTTTGAATATTAAACCGTAATTTCTCTTTTTTTGAAAATTTCAATCCAACAAGTCGGTTTTTGTTATTTTCAATTGATTAGATGATTATTTCACTGCAGAATTTTTTTAATTTGACTGGAATAATCGTTACAGAACTGTTCTAAATCTATAACTTGGAGGAACATATTCTATTGAGCTGTTTTCTTAGGAATTTCCACTCATTCCACTCTGGAATGCCATTTTCAGCACTTCTTGAAAGTTCAAAGTGTATTACAAGCAGTCAAGTAAGCGAAAAGCCTCATTGAATTCACTTTTCAATTTTTTCCCCCTATGAAACAGGAAAATAAATATAATAAAAGAAGTCTCCTTGAATTTTTTCATCGAAATTAACTCGGCCCGAAGAACTAAAATCTGGTTTTTACGCTTTTTTTCAGTTTTTTCGCATTTTTAGTGCTTATTTCTACCTGAAAAAATCTACAAATATTTTCATTGGAAAGCTGAGAAAAAAATAGATTTTTTTGTCACTGCTGCTACGTTCAGCCCGTGTCGAAAAGTGCCTTTTCGTTTACTAGTAAACAAAAAGTCTTTTCGTTTACAAGGTTCGACTTTTTGTTTAATTACTAGTAAATTCGGCACTCGCTGAACGTAACATCACTAACAAAATAATATATTTCGTAACGAGTGCAAAAAACATTTTTTCACGAGTTACGAACAATATTTTTCATCACGCTGTGACGAAAAGTGAACTTTTCTGTGAAAAAAAAAAAAATTGTTCGTAACTCGTGAAAAAATGTTTTTTAGCTCGTGGGATTATATCACTCGCNGGAAAGCTGAGAAAAAAATAGATTTTTTTGTCACTGCTGCTACGTTCAGCCCGTGTCGAAAAGTGCCTTTTCGTTTACTAGTAAACAAAAAGTCTTTTCGTTTACAAGGTTCGACTTTTTGTTTAATTACTAGTAAATTCGGCACTCGCTGAACGTAACATCACTAACAAAATAATATATTTCGTAACGAGTGCAAAAAACATTTTTTCACGAGTTACGAACAATATTTTTCATCACGCTGTGACGAAAAGTGAACTTTTCTGTGAAAAAAAAAAATATTGTTCGTAACTCGTGAAAAAATGTTTTTTAGCTCGTGGGATTATATCACTCGCTTCGGCTCGTAATATAAACCTCCCACTCGCCAAAAAACACTTTTTTGCACTCGTTACGAAATATAATATTTTCTCACAATGTGGCGGAAATTGGACTTTTAGGCACGCGG